GAGGGAGTGAATGAGTCGGGGGGGGGGGGGGAGGAGGCTCTGAATCTGATGATGCTGATGAAGATGCATAGTTTAAAGGAGGGGAGGGAAGCTAAAGAGATCTCGACTACATACATTACAGTCAGCACACACACACACACACATATATATATATATATATATATTATTATATATATATATATATATATATATACATATATATATTATGTTATGATATATTATATATATATATATATATATATAATATAAATATATATATATATAATATTGAATATATATATTATATATATTATATATATATATTATATATATATATATATGTATGTGTGTGTATATATATATATATAATAATATATATTATAATATATATATATATATATAGATATAATGAGATATATATATAATTATATAAATATATATAATATAATTTATTTAATATAATAGAGAGAGAGAGAGAGAGAGAGAGGAGAGAGATAAATAGGGTAGATAGACAGACAGATAGATGGATAGACAGATAATACATGGATGGAATATAGACATACACACATACACATTTCTGTAATCTATCTATCTACACACACACACATAGGTGTGTGTGTGTGTGTGTGTGTGTGTGTGTGTGTGTGTATATATATATATATTATATTGTGTGTGTGTGTGTGTGTGTGTGTGTGTGTGTGTGTGTGTGTATGTGTGTGTGTGTGTGTGTGTGTGTGTGTGTGTGTGTGTGTGTGTGGTGTGTGGTGGGTGGCTCTGTATTTACGTATATATATTATATATATATATACTATAGTATATGTGATAGTATATATAGTATATTACTATATAGAACTATACATAACATACACACACACTTACACACAGCACAACACGATATTATACGATATAGATATAGACGAGATTTATTTTATTAATAAAGGTATTAATTAATAATAAGGTTTTTTCATTTTATGATGAAAAACCATTTTGAATATATACGTATAAGATATAGATATAGTGATATGATACATATAATTACATAGGTAGTATATATATGAGGTAATAGAGAGGTATATATATATATTATGATTAGTAGAATATGATATAGATATTTACTATGAGTAGTTATATATGTGGTGTGTGTGATGTGTGGTGTGGTGTGATCAAGAGAAGAGGAGAGAGATGAGAGATGTGTGTAGTGATGTAGTGTAAGATGACATAGACACTTAACATTGAAGACTGATATAGTGATAGATATATATATACTATTATAGATTATGAATATATATATACTAGATAGTATATATTATATATCAGCGACCACTATAGCGTCCGTAAAGCCGTGTGACGAGAGGGTGAAATAATCCCCAGAGCGCCCGACTTGCGCTGACCTCTCCCTTCTTCCCTTCTTCCCCCGCTTTCGCCGTCAGCGGCCCCTGCCTCTGCCGCCGTCGGCACACGAGCACCGGCCAGGCGCGCGTGGTACTTCGGTCGCTGTCCTGAGAAGAGGCGCCCTGACGAGGCGAGCAGCGCCAGCATCTAGGGCGGCGGAAATCCCTCGCTCTTCCTTGAGGCGTCCATGAGTCCTCGGTGGCACCTTCGAGAGGTCTCCAGGAATCTTATCTCCTCTTGCGCGACGTCATCTTCGAGGAATGCCAAGCCGCCAAGGATCCGGAGAAGTACCAGAGACGTCGTTTTGTGGGCGTTTCCAAGGGCTGCGCGGAGGCCCTCAGGCCCTCGGTCCACACTCAAGGCTCTTAGCCACCTCGGCGAGCGAAGAAAATCCTTCGGTTTGTCTGTTCTCTTCGTTGAACAACCGGCGATGTCCTCTAATATTAGTTCATATATGTAGTGCACAACAGGGTCAGTAGTTATCGTTTGATCTGGTATTTTCTTGTCAGACAAGGTAACCACTGCATGGCATCAGCCAAAGGTCATTCCTTAGTAAGCCAGAGCGAGAGATTTCTAGCTTGAGCCGGAGCCTCCTGCGTCTCGCGAGAGGTCACCGGCGATGCCGCCGTCAAGAACTTTCATGTTTCGTATAATCTTTCAAAGCCACCGATCTCTCTCTTCGACTGTTGTGTCAGGGATATCCGCAGTTCAAAGCTCTATTAGTGACAAAGCAATACACGAACTGTGAAACGTTTGATAATAATTCTTCTCTTTGTTTATTTATTTTTCTTGTCTATTTGCAATGCCAATATGATGCTTACATTGAGTCTTTCCTCTCTTTTAAGATGCATATTAGCGTTGACTTTTTTTCTTTCCTTCCTCTATTTCCTGCTTATGATTCTGTTAACGCAGCTTTCTTTAGCTCCTCGCATACAGGTCCTCTTTTGATTCATCTATTTAATGAAAACTATCTGACTTACTAATCTTCAATCTAAAGTGATTTTCAAGTTCCATTCAGAGATACTGGTTAACTCTTCTCCGTTAACAGTTTGTCTTTTGTTTCTCTTAATGCTAATTCACAAGCTCAAACGCGACGACCCGGCGAGCATTTGGACTGCGGGAGATGTGT